CGTTCGTTCGTCCGTCCGTTCGTTCGTTCGTTCGTTCGTTCGTTCCCCTCGCCCGTCTACACGAGTCTGGAACGTCCGTCTGCCCTCCCGTTCTCTCTGTCTCTCTGCTCTGCCGCCGCCGCTGCCACCGGCGTCGCTCTCCGTCCCTCCGTTTTCTCTCTTCGTCAACCCCACACCCCGAACCTCGACCCCTGGCCCTCGTCCTCGCCGTCTCGTTCTCGCGCACCGCCTTTTGCCGTGGCTCTTCCCTCTGCTAGAGCGCTCCCAACTGCCTCTGCACCCTTCCTAAACCCTCTCTCTATTCCGCTCCTTCCTCGTCCTCTCTTACCCCCTTCTCCCTACTCCGCGGCGCACACCCTTCTCTCGATCCGGCCCTCTCTCTCGAACCCACGGAACCACAAGCGTGGCTCCGTGTCTCCCTCGCATCCCTTCTCTTGCTCGCTTTTGCTTGTTCGCTTGTTCGCTCGCTCCCCCGTCCCATCTTCGTTCCCTCTGCCATCTCGCTCCGCGCTTCCTCCCTCGCGATCTCGCGCTCTCTCCCTCCTGCGAAAGCGTCCCCCCCCCGGCACCCCGCCCCGAACACCGCGGCCCCTACGCCGCGGCATTTAGCCGTGCATAGCCGAACTTGTGTACAGTTAGCTGCGCATCAAATAGTCGTGCCGATTTTTCTGCCATGCCGGTCGCCGCGCCGCGCCGGGAACACCCGTGGCACGCCGCGCCGGATTTCTCGCGGAAGGATCGCGGCACGTTCGGGAAAGAGAGCCACGCCGGGAGGAAAAGCCGTTGCTTTCCCCTTGCCAAGGGACAAGGGGGCTGGGCACGGCTCGCCTGGAAACGAGCCGCGCGCGGATGTTGAACCGCGCAAAAATCTGTGCACGGAACAATAATCGCGTTGCCGCGCGATCGCCGAAAAAGTTCGTCCAACGGCGAACCTGCCGGCGGTTGTTCCGTTGGCCGAGAATACCGATTTTTCCTATTTTCCGGTTCCCCGAAGGAGATCGCTCGGAAGTTCGCGCACCAAAAAGCTGTCCGCGATTTTCTACGATCGACGAGGTTACGAGCGTTCGAAGCACGCGAGCTCGCGATTTTTTTTCTCCGCTAGGTACGCGCGTTTCGGATCGACGCTTTTTTTTAGGGGACGCGTTCGCTTCGAAATTGGTTTGGAAATTCGACGCGAACCTTCTCCCAGTGATGAAAAGACGCGACTCTGGGCCCGGGCTCGAACTATTTCGAAGTCTTCTCGCTAAATATTTCCCTTCGCCTGGCGAATATTAATAAGACAGGAAAAAATCGATAATGAGAGTTCAATGCGCCGCTGTTTATTCGTGTATCGTCTTTCTCTTCTCTCGTTCTAGTTCCTATTACAGCACTCGTCTGGATTAAGAGTCTTTCGAGCTGCTTTTTTATTCGATTTTGGACGAATCGCGGGCGCCGCGGGACGAGCTTTTTTATAAGGGACTGCGTGCGAGAGCACCGAGTGTCGTCGACTTTGATTTCTTCTCGATTAAAAAAATTC